GAGTTCATTGAAACGCAATTTGAGTGTTTGTTGACATATCACAGAGCCTGAAACTATGGTACATCCCAGTCACATCTAAAACCTCAGAATACCATTCCCTAGGTCTGAGAGATGTATGTAAGTGCCACCGATTACCTACTCTGAAATGAGTAGAATGTTTTAAAGGGGCAGGAAAAGAGATTAAATGAATCTGAGAGGGGACACCACTGATACGGTAAGTATAGAGTAAAAGTCAAAGGAAGATTAACAGAAGACAATTAAATGGCAGAAGAGCAGTTTAAAAAATTGACCAAATAATAGGAGACATTCATGAATTATAAATTGCACTTAACAGTATATATCAATGCAATGCCCATAACAATCACTTTGATGCAAGTGGAGCTCAAATTATTTCCTTGGCATCCCAGATGAAAAAAAAGTAAAAAGCTGATGTGTAAATAGGAGGTTACATGCTTTGCTTAAAGCCACATAACTAGAAAGTGGCATTTCTAGTTCTCAAACCCGGATCTACTGCCACAGGTGGCGCAGGAGTTACCGACTCCTTGCTCAAGGCTCCTTCCAACGTGGTTGTTGCTCATTTGTTGTCTCCCTTCCACTGTGGCTGTCCATTCTTCCCGTCCTTTGCTGGTCCCTGGATTCAGACTCTTCATTCTTCAAACGTCTCCCCCAACCCAGCTCTTAGTTACAGCCCTCTGCAAGTTGGTCCTGATAAACCTTGATGGAGCGATCCTATCAGATCAGTTTCCTGGGGAATTTTAACTCAAAGTATTGAATAGCTGGGGCAGGGAATGACACTGCAAGGAGAGCATTTTAGGTGTTGTAAACTAAAACAGTGGAGGAGTTATTTGGGGAAGAATAGGTCTTATTCAACAGTTTTCTACTCCACCATCCAAAAGAAGCTGGACCTCAGCACCTCTATCTATTTATTTTTACGTGTTCTTTTTTTTTCTTTAGTAACTTAGTAATATCTGACAACTACAAAAGCAAAAATCTAGTACACAGGTACTTATGATAGTCATTTTAAAAGCACTAGTGAACTGAGAAATGCATATACTGCTGATAGATTGTAAGTTGGCACAATTGCCTCGGAAAAGGTGAGCATTTAATGATGGAGTTAAACACACACTTACCATACAACTCAGAAATCCCAATGCTGTGTGTTTACCCAGAAAAATGAAAATACGTGCTTATATAAAGACCCATAGGCAAATGTTTACAGCAGCGTTATCCATAAGTCAAAAACTGAAAACAACTATACTGTGTCTCAAACGGATAAGCACTTTTAGACCATGCATATAATGGATACCACTTAGACATGAACAGCAACAAACTACTGATGTGCACGACATGAATGGGTCTCGGACTCATTATGCTGAGTGGAAAAAGTCAGACAGAAAAGAATATGGGCTACATATGATTCCATTTATATGACAGTACAGCACTGGCAAAACCACAGAGACAGAAATTAGAACAGTGGTCTCTAGGGGGTAGGGGCGGGGTAGGAGACTTGGCTGCAAAGGAGCAAATAGAACTTTGAAGGTGATGGAAATGTTCTATATATCATAATTGTGGTATGATTCCAGGACTCTACACATTTGCCAAAATTCATCAAACTGTACAATTTTTAAAGTTAATTTTTTAAATGGGTTACTCCTCAGTAAATTTAACTTTAAAACTGTATTAAAGAAAAGTGTGTTTGAGAGTTTTTTGAAACTCAGATCTGAGAAAAATGTTTTTAAAAAAGAATTTATTGCATTGTTATGAGAGGCACTTTGCTGGGATCTAGGAATATAGAGATGAAAGACCTAGTCCAGAACTTTAAAGAACTTACAGTGCAGTAGAGGAGAGAGGAGTAAGCAAAGCCACTCCACTGAGTACTAAGTGCATTGGTGGAGACAGGTACTGTGGGCTGGAGCACACAATGGAGCATCTAAATCAGATGTCTGGAAAGGATGAACTCCCAGAGAGATACCTGAGCTGAGCCAAGATGAGCTGAGCTCAGCTGAGCTGTCAGTGTTTGTCAGCCAGATAAGAGAGAAGAAAATCCTTACCGAGGGAAATAAGGAGTGCAGATAGTGAGAGGGAGAAAGAGAGAAAGTTTTCATGGATCAGTGCTAGTTTTGAAAAATTGCCAAAATGAGTAATATAATGAATAGGAGAAAATGTAGACAATATGTCAGAAAATAAATTCCATGACAGTGAGACATATTAAAATGTGAGTTGTTCTTTCTAAGGAAGTGTAAATGATCTTGAGAATTCAGAAAACTGAGTTCACAGATAAACAGAACTGTTAAATGTTAAAAACATGCATTCTTTGCTTTAGCATAGTGACCTATCAATTCTTCAGTGACTCAAAGGTAAACACAGACTTTACTGTTCCACTCCTGGTATGTACTACTCTACTACTTCATGTCCTGTTTACGTCAATTTGTTAATTTAATAGCTTGACTTCAACTTTCTTCTTCCTATTGTTTTCACCTTTAAAAAAATCAACTATATAAAAATATGGTTGGTTGTCATACTGTATCATTATGGGACACACAGAAATCACTTAGCATAATGTGTTACTTCATGGTACAAAAGTCCCTTCCCAAACAGTCAAACAAAAACAGTACAATCTAATAATCTAACTAAAGCATATATGTTGTCTCATAAAGCAGGTTCTTGCATGTTATCCCTCAATACTCCAATTTCTATTCCATTGGCCAGAACTTAGTCACATGGCTATAACTTGCTGGAAGGGATGATGAGAAATGTAGTCTTTATTCCAAGTAGTCAAGTGCCAACTGTGAGAAATGGAAAAAATGGGCACCATAGGAGAATCAGAAGTCTCTGAGTCAAAGATGAGATCCCCTTATCCCTCAGATTACTGGGGCCCTAGACACATGACATTTTCTAGTTAAAACATGAACTCTAGAGTTTAGTTATCAAAAATTTCCTCTGATTTGGAGCCATGTTTTTAATCCAGTATAAACCCTGGAGCATTGCAGATTACTTTACATTGCACTAGGGACAGTTCCTAGCACAGAGAAAGTTCTAGGTAAATACTGGCTGTTATGGTCATGGTTTCTTCGTCATGAAGCCATGAAAACTTGTAGCTGCAGAAGAGACAATTTAGTCTAAGCTTTGCCCCCACCCTGACCCCTCACACAGATGTGTAAGCTAGGTAAAAATAAGGAGGTGAATTTGGTAGAATAGAGCTATACAAAAGCAAATAGCATTTAATAATGTATTTACAAAATGGGGAAAAAGTCTGTGGTGAAGCTGTGTTTTCTTTTTAAAATATTTTTATTTCATTAAATTCCATCTTTTAGGCCTTTCTTAAAGCTTCTATGGCAGGTTGCTGGTCAAATACGCCTCATTGGTTCTGCCTCCACTAATTGCAGCTCTTCGTGTGAATTTCTTCCTCATTTGCAAATGTTAAAATGTGTATTCTTGTTTGCGACAGTGCCAAAACTTTCCAAATAAAAAGTTCTATTTGTATGTTTATTTTCCAATTTTGATCATTAATTTATTATAATCAGGCACTTTTTTTCACAAATTGCATTCTTGGTAACAAAACAAAATTAGTTGCCTTTTCCAAGTTTTATCCAGTAGCCTTTTCCAAATTTACATAGCAATATATCAAAGAGAATCTGCTTTCTTTTATAAATTTAGGTTTTTATATCCAAGAATGTCACTGAAAATTGGGTGAGAAAATACTTTTAAAATATAGCTTTCTGTGTATGTTTTGCTATGAACCATAGTTCAAGAATACCATTTTGTTGTAGATATAGTGTTCTATTTTGGTAGATATTTCCTGGTGGCTAATTTGCAAGACAGACCTGAGAAAACCTAGATAAGATTGTTGATCTATTATTTTATTTTATTAGAAAACATCCTGAGTAATTTCCATAGCATCAAAATGACCTGGGGGAAAAGAGAGGAATAACTACATATTTCCATTAATTGCAATGTTATAAAAAATAAATACTGGGGAGGATATTTCCATTAGTTTTTATTGTTTTAGAAAGTTAAAGAGAAAATAGCATTGCAATTTATGAAGAGGCAGACTATTTTGAGAACTCAATTTATAAGTAGGCCAAAGACTGATCACCTGGATTATTATACAAAGGAAAAAAATTTGCCTTCAAACAACCTTAAAAAGGAATCAATCCAATAGAACTTGGATCATGTTCTCCAGGAAACTAATTTGTCTTTTGGGCTCTCTCAGCAAAAGTAAAATTTGTCAAGTGTTTCCTTATCCACTAATAAGTATAAAGTGTTAGCAATGTTGCTGACATCTTTGTCTCACAGCTAAGCACAGTCTAAAATCAATAAAACAAATTTTATTCTCCTTTCCTTCCAAAGATCTCATAATCACAAAAGTGGTTCCAAGGTCTCCTTCCATGAATAATCCTTCTCTCACCACAATCTCCTTCTTTTCCAAGTTTCTCCTTCTTTCCAAGGTTGGATTGAGACCTGTGGGCAAATCGGAAGCCCAATGATTTAATGCCACCTTCAAACTACAATTTGTAAACAAACATCTATTCAACACACAGTGCCTCAGGGATGAAGCTGAGTATCGATGAATAAAAATTGTATGCCCTTCAAAAGAAGTCAATATAACATAGTACTTTAACTTATTTGGAAATGTTTCTTGAATTGTAATTTTTTTCATCCCTTCATTTATTAGTGATGAGATAAAGGGATGAAAAACTGTAATCTATATCACCAGGAGTCAAATGTCACGTATCTGTTATATTAGTTTGCTAGGGCTCCCATAACAAAATACTGCAGACTGAATTACTTAAATGACAGAGATTTATTTTCTCACAGTTCTAATGGCTGGAAGTCCAAGATGCAAGTGTTGACAGGTTTGGCTTCTCCTGAGGCATCTCTCCTTGGCTTGCAGATGGCTGCCTTCTCGCTGTGTTCACCTGGCCATTTCTCTGTGCGTGCACCTGTGTGGTGTCTCCTTCCATATCCCAGTCTCCTCCTCCTCTTCTTTTTTTTTTTTTCCTTATAGTCATTTGCAGGGACCTTAATGACTTCAATGTTTTTAAGGCTTGTAACAAGGCTTTACTATTGCCAGTCTTGTCTAAATTTCTGCTGAAACACATTCAGGTAAGCGGGTTCATTAGCTGGCTTCCAATCTCCTTTACTAGTAAGGACACCAAGCATATTGGATTAGGGCCCATCCTAACAACCCCATTTAACTTAATTACCTCTTTAAGGCCCTATTTCCAAAATTCAGTCACATCCTGAGGTACTGGGGGGTAGCGCTTCAACATATAAATTTGGGGAGTACAAAATTGAGCCTATAACCACTGGCCATTCTGGAATGTTGGAATCAGACAGGGAAGGACTTTATTTCAACACCTGACAACGTTTGATTACCAAATCTTAAAAGTAACTATCTGACATAAGATTTCATACTTCACTTTTGGATTACAAATCATTTTCTGCACAGGAAAATTTACAGAAACAGAAGGAACAAAAGACTGATTCATGAATTTACTTCTACTTGCTAAAGTGTCCTGAGAAGGGAGAAAACAGCAAAATAGTCCCTGCTTTTATTAAGTCCTCATTCTCTCTTTAGCTTTCTCATGTGATTTTTGGAACCAGGTAACCTCTTGAGAGATACTCTAAAGGATTTTAAAATACTTTTTTAATCACACATTCCTTGGAAGCAACATTATCTCAAGTGTATCAGTTATGTCTTCCGCCCTAAGTAACAGATCTCACTGAGAGGAACGTAAACATTAAGGACACTGATTATCTAGCAAGAAGTCCAGTGGCCAGCAGTTCCAAGCATCAAAATGAAGATGGAACTGGTGGTCTCCCATCTCTCCCCTCTGCCGTGTGAGGAGTTGGTTTCTGTCATCTTGTGGATGCCAGGAATCGGCTGCTCATACAACTGCACCTGGAGGCTGCAAGGAAAGCCTTTCTCCTCCTAAATCTCTTTTCACCAAGGATGAAAGCTTTGCCCAGAGGACTGCCCCTTATATCTTATCATCCTCAAGGGTAGCAGAATACGAGTATGTCATCCCCAAATATGACTGTAGGATTCAGGACAAACCATCCCAAAATATGTTGCTTTGGTATTGACAGTGTTGAACTGCAGGCACTTGAGAAACAGCAAAAGCAGAAAGAGACTTTCTTTAACTCCACCTTTTCTGCCTAAAAACAGATCCTCCAAAAGGAACTCAATTGTCATAAATTCCCTGCCTGGGAGTATCATCACTGGGGAAGACTGGTTTTGTCACAGGAGAAAAGAATATAAGTTGATACCACACCCAGACAAATCTTGTCATAAACTATCATACTTCTCATCTATTCTTCTAAGATCCTGTTTACCTTTCCTAAAAAATATTTACGTTCCCCTAAGGGGCCTAAATCTCCCCCTCCCTCTTGCTATTAAGATATTGAGATGCAATTCATTTTAAGTCTAAGCCACCACAGGGAACTAATCATTTTTTAATTATTACTTATTTTAGAGAGAGAGGAAGAGGAAGAGAAACACCAACTCACTTCACGCACCCATTGGTTGACTCCTTGACATGCCCTGACCGGGGAGAGAACCACAACCCTGTGCACGGAGACCACGCTCCAGCCAACTGAGCTACCCAGCCGGGGCGGGAGCTAATCATTTTCCCTTGGGTAACTCCCATGTGTACATGAGATAAATATGTTAATAAACTTCTGTTTGTTTTTCTTTGTTAATCTGTCTCTTATTACAGGGATCTCAGACAAGAACTTCGAAGGGTGGAGGGAACATTATCTTTCCTCCCCTATAGTCCCAACCTCTCCGGCAAAGGAGGATGGAATTCATTCCATTGCTTTTCACACAAATACACAGCAGAGATAAACACATACTAGAGAGAAGTGCTTTTCTGACTTACGGCCTCACAAGGGTACCAGCCACTTCAAGAATGAAAAAATAAATTAAAATAAAATTTAAAAAAAAAAGAATGGAATTAATTTGCACTTCCTCAGAACTTTAATGAGAGAACTTGAGTTTATCAGCATTGCTTTTCTCATGTATTCTGTAATGTTTTAGTGCTTTGTTCTAATTATCTATGGCTACATTTAAAAACAAACAAACAAACATGGCTTACAATAACAGTATTTCTTTTGCTCACTCAATTTGGGCTGCACGGACTTAGTTAGCTAAGCAGTTCTCACTCAGAGTCCACGCAGTTGGCGTCAGGACGTGACTGGCGCTAGAGTCGTCCTGAGAGCTTCTGCACTCAGACTGGCACCTGGACTGGAAGCACCACACATCTGCAGGCCAGAGCAGCCGGGGCTCCTTCGACATTTCTCTCTCCCTTTAGGAGGTGTCCCCACTTAGTGGCCTCAGGTGGACTTTTTACTTGGCAGCTGAAGCCTCATTAATGAGTGTCCCATGAGAAACTGTCAGAAGCCTTTTCTAACCTAGCCCTGGAAGCATGCAGCATCATTTCAGCTACATTTGCTCATCAAGGCAGCCACAAGACCTCTCAGGTTCAAGGGGAGGGAATGTAGACTCCACCTCTTAATAGGAGGAATGTCAAAGAATTGGCGAATGTTTTTAAATACCGCCACATACCCCTTAATGTTTGGTCCTCCTGCCATCTGGACCACATTTAATTTACCTCTGAGTCCACAGAACTTGCTTTCCACAGTGTTTGAACCTGTGGTCCCTTATCTCCCATCATTCTCCCTACAGTTAATTCTCACTCTTACTTCACATACCTCCTTTCTCAGGATCAACTATTTATAGGGAGAGGTCATGGTCTTTGTGAAAAGGTGCCAGGACTTTTGGTTAACCCCTAATTATTTTGATAGACTAAATCTATGCAGTTAAGACAAAGGTTCTCATAACCAATGTTTCAAACAGATAAACATATAGACATTAGTTTATCGTACAATTTTTGGTCTCATAAAAAGAAGGAAAATGCAGCTATACAACTAGCAATGGGGAAGGTCATCCTACAGCATTTTGGCCTAAGGTTACCTGGCTATTAGCTATGTCCAATGAACAAGAGCAAAGAAACAAAAAGTAGGCAGGCCAATGTGTAAGGGATGCCTGTCTCAGCAGGCCATTCTCAGCCTGCCTCTTCTCCTGTCCCTCTCAAAGTAGAGGATTGCTTTTATATTGTTTTGTCCACCTAGAGAAAAAGAATGAGCATTTGGAATCGTATCTCTTTTTCTCCTCAACACCTCTCCACACAGCATCAATCAAGTTGACCAAACTTTCCTTGAATAAAAGATTCAAACAAGAGCCTGGAGTAATGAGTATTCCTCAAAACAATTTTGCACACAAAAAACAAATTAATAAAATTTCCAGGGACAGCTTAACCATTTAGGAGGAAGAGAACCTTATATATTTTATACCTATTGGTAGAAGGAAAGGAATTCAATGATGCTCAATCTGGGACACAGAGATCACAGTGTGGAAATAAATAATTCAAGCTCTGAATATCTTTGATTCAGTTTTAATTTATATTAAAGTTATTTTGCATTCATTTGTTTTTGTCTTACGTAGGACATGTTAAGGAAAATTTTAAGAAGTTATCTTTATAAGTACATTTGAAAATACAAAGCACAAAATTTGCAACTAGCTTTGTATAAAATGGGATTGAGTGTGTGTGTATACATATATAGACTAGCAGCAACCAGTCTAGATTGACAGTTTGGCTTCAGCTAGGAACATCCAAGCCTAGTACAAGAGGCAGCCATCTGCTAATTGCTTTGTAGCTCATGCTGGGGTGGCCCCAGGCAGAACATAGGTGGTGGCCAACCTTGGCCTGCACCACCCAGGAAACCCCAGAGCCTGCGCAACCAGTGGACAGCTACACACTATGTCAGAGCACCACCACCCTGCTCTTGCACAGCTGATCCTCCACAGAGGGCGGGAGTTGGTGATCAGTGGTTAGAGCCAGTCCTTGCAGCTGACTGACCTGGCTAAATCCCTTCCAAGAGCAATCAAGGCACAACTGCAAGAAGAGGGTGTATTCAGACACACGGAGGGCACAATTCAAGTACTCAGGTTGGGTGATAGGGGAGGCTGTAACACTGGACCCTACAGGACACCTATTACATTAGGCCATGGTACCAAAACAGGGAGGAACAGCAGCTCTACCTAATACATAGAAACAAACACAGGCAGGCTGCCAGAATGAGGAGACAAAGAAACATGGCCCAAATGAAAGAACAGATCAAAACTCTAGAAAAAGAACTAAATGAAATTTAGATAAGCAATCTATCAGATTCAGAGTTCAAAACACTGGTAATAAGGATACTCAAGGAACTTAGCAAGAACCTCAATAACATAAAAAAGTTCCAGCCCAAAATGAAGGGTACACTAATTGAAATAAAGAATAATTTACAGGGAATCAACAGCAGAGTGGGTGAAGTCAAGAATCAAATTAATGATTTAGAACATAAGGAAGCAAAAACAACCAAGCAAAACAACAAGAAGGAAAAAGAATCCAAAAAACAAGGATAGTGTAAGCAGCCTCTGGGACAACTTCAAGCATTCTAACATTTGCATCATAGGGGTGACAGAAGAAGAGAAAGGGCAAGAAATTGGAAATCTATTTGAAAAAATAATGAAAGAAAATTTCCCTAATTTGGTGGAGGAAATAGACATGCAAGTCCAAGGACTCAGAGAGTCACAAACAAGGTGGATGCAAAGAGGCCCACTCCAAGACACATCATAATTAAAATGCTAAAGGTTAAAGATAGAGAATCTTAAAAGCAGCAAGAGAAAAACAGGTTACCTACAGAGGAATTCCCTTAAGCCTGTCAACTGATTTCTCAAAAGAAACTTTGCAGGCTAGAAGAGTTTGGCAAGAAATATTCAAAGCCATGAAAGGCAGGGACCCAGAGCCAAGATTTCTCTACCCAGCAAAGATACCATTTAGAATCAAAGGGCAGATACAGAGCTCCCCAAGCAAGAAAAAACTAAAGGAGTACATCATCACCAAAGTATTATTATATGGAATGTTAAAGAGACTTATTTAAGAAAAAGAAGAAAATAAAAACTATGAACAATAAAATGGCAATAAATACATATCTCTCAAAATTGAGTCTTAAAAACAAAATAGCGAACAAGAAGAACTGAGACAGAATCACAGGTACAGAGAGCATTTTGATGTTTGCCAGGTGGGAGGGTGGTGTGAGGAAATGGGTGAAGAGGCAAGGGGATTAAGAAATACAATATGTAGTTACAGAGTAGCCACGGGGATGTAAAGTGCAGTACAGGAAATGGAGTAGCCAAAGAACTTATACGCATGACTCATGGACATGAACAAAGGTGTGAGGATGGCCTGAGGGAGAGAAGGGTGCTGAGTGAAGGAGGGCAAATGGACAAAAATTAAGACAACTGTAGTAGCATAATCAATAAAATATAATTTTAAAGAAAGATGGAGGAGCAAGCTCAAAAGAAAAGTTTGTGAAAATCTTAGAAATATGACAGAAAATGAAAAGAGATAATATAGGGAATTGTGAAATATGTCACAATCCTATTTTGTGACAATGTAAAATTTATCTGAATATTAAAACTGAAAAAAAATCAGTAAGTATCTCATGAAGATTTCCAACACCACTCTGCTGGAGGGTGCTCCTCATTTTCAACACCAAGCATTGTAGTTACAATGAAGTTCAAGTACACAGGTGTCAGTGTCATGCGACAAGACAACCAACCTAGTGTCTTCACAGACTGACAAAAGAGTAAGGGAGGAGGAGCACTGTCCCAGCATATAAAGTCTTGGACATAGCAAAGAGATGGACTATATGATCTTCGGTAAGACCCTGACTTGAAACAAATAAAACAGATATAAAAGACATTTGGGGGGTTAGCTGAGGCAATTGAATATATGGCCAGTATATTAGGAAATACTGTGATAATACTACTATATTATAAAGGATAATTTGCTGAAGTATTTTGGAGTGAAATTTTATACAGCCTACAACTCAAAATGGTTTATTGAAAAAACACACAATAAAGTATGTGTGGTGAGATTATAACAATTTTATGATATAGATGATGGGTATACAACTGTTGATTACACACTTTTTTCTAATTTTCCCATCTGAAAATTTTCAAAATAAAAGTTTTTTGAATATATTATCCCCATCCCCAAATTTTAATTATTCTTGAAATGAAAAGAAAGGTATGTTAAAGCTAGCTTAAGAAAGTAGGTCCTGTAACTTCAAAGAAAAGCTTCAAAAAAAGTATGGCAAAATGCTTTTCTTCAGATGAGACCCTCATCATTAAAACAAAACTAAGAATTTTGGGTCACTCTCAGATTTCTGTGCTGGACAACGCTCTGCCAACAGTGCCTCTCTTGTGTGTGTGAGGCTTAAAGACCAAGGTGTAGTTACCCTAGAAGCCAACCAAGTCCACCAGGGGTAAAAAGTGTTGGACTCTCTTTATTGGTTTCAGTGTTTCTGACTCCCAAACTAAATCAAGCAAGTATCCAGAATAAGCCTCTGTTATAATTAGTAACATTATTAATAATAATAGTGCTACCTAACATTTATCAAGCACTCAGTGAGAAGCAATGATAAATTGGAAGGGACATTAAAGATGATGATTCAATAGTAAATGACTGATAATTTTTTGCACACACTGAACTATGTGGTCATTATGAATAGTCTTTCCCTCAGTTAGGTGTTATTACCTGCACATGTGAGCAGTGTTATAGAAGTTGAGAGATGATAACTTCTGACTGGCAACAGCCCGATATTTTTAATTTAGGTTTACTGAAATATGATTTAATTTTATGGGAATAGGCGAATGTGAAGGTTTCCTTTTTCTTCCTATCCAATACTACCCCCTAGTGGTGCCCTGACCCCTTTACAGCACCTCTCAAATCCTCAAGGGGGTACAGGAAAAGAAATGGAAACCTTCCTTCAACAAATTGCTACCTAATTTGAACTGATTTGTGAGCATTCATTTCAAATTGAGCCATTTTAAGTGAAGCATTTATTTCCTTTGTTTTTCCCTTCCAGGAAAACAATGCCCTGCCATAAAAGTATCAGTCGTGTCCTATGGGTCAGAGAGACAGAGAGAGATACATACATGGAGATATATATATATTTTTTTTTTTTGAACACTCATTAGAAGATTAAAAATACATTTGTTTGTTGATTTTAAAGAGAGAGGGGGAAAAAAACATCAATCAGTTGCCTCCCATGTGCACCCCCACTGGAGATTCAACCCAAAACCTTTTTGGTGCCCAGGACAATGTTCCAACCAACCAAACGACCCATCCTGGGCTAGGTCCTGATCTTTTATGCCAAGATGCACTAGGAAAAGGCAATGACCTCTAAAAATGATATAAAAGGAAAAAGTAGCTCTTCTACTGGCTTAAGGAAAGGCCAGTTCCTATCACAAGGCTGCTTATTGAGAGCAGCTTCCTTATAGAGATGGAAAGGGAAGATACTCACAATTCCCTGAATCTGACTGAAATATGGTCATAAGAACTTTGAAATCTTGATGCAGGTATCATATGCCAAAATTCCTTGTCATATCAAAAGTTGAGCTGTTTCCTGTTTTGCAAGGGGTGACTACTTAGGGGAAAGCTCTTCTTTTGTTCTGGGAAAATCTTCACAATAGGCCGAGATCTTCAAAGACAAAGCTGAGGCTCTAGAGCCATGTGAAAGATTGTCAATACAGCAGGCAGAGTAGGAAATTTGACTACTTTTCGTTCCATCAACAAAACAAAAATGTCGATTGTTTTCTAAGTATGGATTGGGACACCGTGTACCTAAAAATGGTTGCTTCTTTTTTGGCACGTGAGGGTCTTATTGGAGAGTGCTAACAGAAGCCCAAAACAGAAACAGCCCTCTTCACCAAAAACTTAGCAAGACTCTGACCTCCAAAGCTGCTGTCTCAAGGCCTTGCTGAGGGAACATAGCTCAGGATATAACTCATGGAGAGCAGGGATTTTGTCTCTTTTTTTCCTCCAGGGGAGAGTGCAAATGCAGCCCCCCACTACCACAAATTTTGCAGTCGAGTCTCCCACATTTGGGGAAATGGCAGGGGTCCACCCATCCAGAGTGCGATGAGTGAGCCTCGCCCTGGGAAGGCCGCCTTTGTGACCTTGGGATCTCCCCTGCCATGTTATGCATTGCCTGTCTTTTTTATGGCAACACGTCAGGGCCTGGAACCTTGCTAAGCTCATAGTAAGCATTTCAATATTTGATAAATGAATACATGAAGGCAAAGTGCTCCCCTTTTCCTCATACAAAGGAATCTTGCCCTGGAACACAAGGAAAGGTAGGTTTGGGAGCTTGCAAAGACAGACAAGTGGGCAAAAAAGTGCTTGGCTGAGTTGATTTCTCTTAGTGTTGGTGAAGCACTTTGATAAGATGGGAAGAGAGGAATATGGAAAATCATGTTCCTGGGCCTATATGATGTGCCAGTGACTTACAAAAATGAATTAGGATGACTTGAAAGATAGCAGTGTTTTTGTGCAAATAACCAAAATCATGGTTATTTGGACACTAATGTAAATGTGACTTTGGCTCCCAAATTGGTGTGACCTTCAGCATAACTAGTACAACACAGCATTAACCACTTCATGTCTGCTGAGCAGCTCTTCTCTGTTCTGCCGTTCTCATTTTCGTATGTGGAGGTTACATTCACTTCTTGCAGAAAAATGCTGCAACTGTAAATTATAATTTTTAGTCCAATATCATCTCCATTGTCAATTTCTTCCTCTTATTATTTAAAGTAGAAACCTATGAATAATGCATCTGATCCTGTTTAAAAATTTACCCTTTCTTCTAATTTTGTTTCTTTCATGGCAATTTTTCTGTTTCTTACACAAAACATAACTTATAAAACATTTAGGTTATTGTTAATACATCCTTGTTATCACCTCCTACCACCCTATTCTCCCTCAGAAGGACAACTCATTTCCCTCAATATTTTAAAATCTTGCTTAGTCTATTATAATGTCTTCCTCATAAGCTATTTTATCTCCACTGTGATGCATCTTAAGTGAAACTGCTTAAATCTTCTGAATTTCTCCAATCACATTTCCTCCTACAATCATATATTTCAGAATTTCTATTTCTCCTACCACTAAAACCTTAAGCAGAATATCCTGCAATTAACTTATTTCTCTCATCTATCACGATATTTTCTATATGCCTGTTATCCTTGAAAAAAAGAACCATATTCTTTATATATGTTTAACATCTACTCACCCTTAACTGAACACACCCAGTACATATGGTATTAAAGTTCTATAGACATATAATATTATCTTTGTTTATAGTTAACAAGTGAGAAACTTTTCAGAGCATTGGCTCCCAAATAGAAGCTGTATATTGGCAAGAAGCCAGCTCTGAAACAACTTGGGCCAATGATGGTAACTTTTATTTAATGGATCCTAGGCCAAAGCCCTTTCTTGAAATTGTGCAACCAAAAATAACTTTCATTCTTTCACATGTGTTCCCTCAAAATTCCTAGATGGAAGCCCTAACCATCAATGTGACTGTATTTGGAGATGGAGGTAATTATGGTTAAATGAGGTCATAAGAGTTGGGCCTTAATCCAGTAAAATCTGTGTCCTTTTAAGAGAGACACCAGAGCGCACTCTCTGATGTCACAGAAGAAAGGCTCTGTGAGGATGCAGCAAGTAAGAAAACATCTGGAAGTAAGGAAGAGTGCTTCCTCAGGAACTGAATTGCCTGGTACCTTGATCTGGGATTCTTACCCTCCAGAATTGTAAGAAAATGAAGTTCTGCTACTTAAGGCACCCAGTCGGCAGTATTTTGTTATGGCAGCCTGAGCTGACTCATACAGGTGGGGAAGCTGGAACGTGTGCATTTCCAGAGGACACATTTCTACCACACTGAAGAAAGGATTCTGGAAGAATGAGCTGAGACAAGTAGCGAGTACTAAAGACACCCTGTGCTTCATTTATACATACAACAAAAATTAGAATGCTGTCAGAAGCCTTCTTCTTTATTTAGTTTCATACTATGCACGAATTAGTGTTATACTAAGACAATGTTTCTGAAATAGTAATATAATATATGCACTGTAGTTATTAAGTGTTCTATACATACTCATTTCTCTTTCTTTCTCAGCATGTTTAATAATCATCTATAATAAACACCCATTTCTACCAGTTAAAAAGCTTGATTTGGAAACCAATTATCATATATTACTGAAGCTAGGCTGCTGTTGCTTTGGGAAATGAGAACACAGTTATCTTGAAAAATAAACTGATATTCCAAATTACATCTTGAGCAATGTATCTTTTATTTTGCTTTATTATCTTTCCATCCTGTGAAGTGATTGTTAGTTGCTCTTTGTCTAGATTTTCATTGATAAATATCAGCAGAGATAAAACAAGAGACTCTTATCTCCTCACCCATTACAAGAATTCCTGATCTATTTCTTCTTACTTTGTTTCAACTAAAGTAGACATAAATCTTAAAAACAAACAAACAAACAAAAACCCATTATGTTAACATTAGGATAGAATCAAGGTGAAAAAAATGACCAATGTGTAAAGACGTGTGTTTTTAACTGAAACAGTAAAAATGGTTAATCACATACTGATTTCCCAAAGCAGATACTGTTTTAAGAAAAAGCACTACGGGTAAAGCATCCATTATTAATGGCAAGTAATGGTTTAGCTAAGTGCATTCATGGAGATAAGATGGCCTGGAAAGAAATGAACTAAGTCAAACAAAGACATCAGCCTTTAATCATCAGCATGCCAAGAGCCTTTTTGGTTGGTTGTTTTGTTTTTTAAGCAACTCCCAAGACAGAAGATGATGGCCTCCTACAAGAGGTCAATAAATGTCACATAATCTCAGAATTCAAGGAAACTGCGTGCACAAGATGTTGTTGCTCTCCATGTGAATGCACACCAAGGCCCAGGAAGACGGAGACTCAAACTAGATACCTGGTAAATTCCCAGCTTTGGGGAACTTGTACCTAACTGTAACGACAGGGAGAGTTCTGCAAACCTGAAGCAAAATAGCTGCAGCAGCAGCATCATAATCCTTATCATTTCCGTATCCCCTCTATTTGTTTCTGTGTTCCCCAAGTAAATCTTTTTGAAACATTCCTGCTATGAGAAACCAGCAATGGCTTCCCTTTTTATAAGCACCTATTTTTTAGGGTAAATGATAGGGTTGTAGTTTCATCAGATTGTGTAAGTGGAAAACTCAGGAAATCCTGCTTTGTTTGGTTCCTGGATGAGAAACCTACCTGAAACTAACTTAAATAAAAGATTATTAGCCATAGGAATGCAACAAAATCTAAGAACAGGCATCAATGTGGACATCAGAAACAACTACAGCTAGGAACTGAAATGATTCTAGATCCTCTGTCCTCAGTGTTTACTTTGTTATTTTTTTAATTCTTATTTATTGGTTTTAGAGAGAGAGAGGGAGGGAGGGAGGGAGGGAGGGAGAAAGACGTTAATTTGTTGTGCCATTCATTTATGCATTCATTGGCTGATTCTTGTATGTGCCCTGACTGGGGATCAAACTTGCAACCTTGGCATATCTGGATGACGCTCTAACCAACTGAGCTACCAGGCCAAGGTGATTTCGTTCTTTTAAAAAAAACAAACTGGCTCAAGGAGAGGCTACTAGTTGCCAACTAAATACCCAATCTCAGTCCTGGTCTGGTAGCTTAGTTGGTTAGAACATCCTTCTGGTATGTCAAGGTTGCAGGTTCAATCCCTGTTCAGGACACACAGAATGAACAAATAAATGTATAAATAAGTGGAAAAATAGCCCTGGCTGGTGTGGCTCCGTGGACTGAGACACGCCCTGCAAACCAAAGAGTCACTGGATCGATTCCCAGTCATGGCACATGTCTGGGTTGCAGGCCAGGTCCACAGTAGAGGGGGGCACACAAGAGGCAACCACGCATTGATTTTTCTCTCCCTCCCTTCCCCTGTCTAAAAATAAAGAAAAATTATAAGTGGAAAACATATCAATATTTCTCTCTCCCTTCTCCCACTCTCTAAAATCAATATAAGTACCCAATCTCCCTTCTCACTAAATCGAACTCCAATTTTGTTTGGCCCTATGTCCAGTTAACATTTCTTGGTCTCCCTGAATCCAGGCATGATCATGTGACAAAGGTCTGGCCAAAGAGGTAAGCTAAAGTCTCTGGGTGGGGGCCCTAAAGCTCCATAAAGAGCTCACTTAAGTCAGCATGTCCTCTTTCACAGATACCTCTTCCTGCAGAAAAACAAAACAGTTGGAGCTGCAGCAGCCATCTTACAAGAAGGAAAGCCGTACACTAGGGATAACAGAGCCAGAAGACAGATGTCACCTGACATGGATGAAATTGTGAACCTGCCCTACCAGCTCCTAATCCCTGCTCTGTGCCTAGTTCATAGAGACGAGTTGAAAAGAAGCTCTTCTCAGAACTAACAACAGATGTACCTGACATTTATTGCACGCTGGGTATGTGTCAGAAACCATTCTTTGTCCTTTGCATGCATTAGCATAACTATGTATTTGAGATACTGTTTCATTTATAGAGATGAGGATACAGGCTTAGCAAGGTTAGCTACCCACGGTAATCCAAGGCTGGAAGCTGGGTCTTCTGACTCCGTATGTCTGATTAACTACATTATACTGGTTCTTATCAAAAATTGTAATTCAAATTTAAATTCCAATTCAAAGGAATGAAACTCCTGATGAAGATGAGTACAGGGAACATTGGGAGCAAAGAGGAAACTGTCAAGGGTTCCAGCAGAACCTGGGGAGCTTTCCCAGGGTGTCAAGGAGTATGCATGCACCATGCCGCAGCAGTTATATTGTCAATGGAGAGAGCACTGAGTTTGGATCTCAAGCGTAAAGTAGAAGACAAAAATGTTAAATAGGTAGGCAGACTGCAAATTATGTAAAAAGATCAACATGAAACTGAATGATGGAACTGGAGACTGTACTGGTACCTCTTTCTAGGAAGCTTGACTACAGGGGATCCAAGTCGTATCTGCATGCATTGCTATTAACAGCATACTGAAGCTATTCCAGTAAATATTTAACTAAAGACGTGGTAAGACGAAGTACACGAGAAAGACTATGAACTTTAAAGAATCAGATATAACTGGGTCTCAAATCTTGTGCTGCCATTTCCTTGCTTTGTGTGAACTGCAAGCCCTCCCCAAGCTTTGGGGGTTTTTTTATCTACAGATACGGTTTCATTTCATTTAGAACTACAGGATACAAATGTAATTTTGTGCATAGTAGCAATTTTAACAAATTTCATTTAAATACATCTCCCTCCCAGTGTTTATATTAATGGGATAATATCATCACAAAATTTCTTCTATTTAGTAACAGACGCTATTCTCAAAAGAAAAATGTGTGGTAAGATAAAAAAGATTGAGATGATGGTTGTTCTGTTTCCTGAAGGCCACACTTTCTATACAGTATTTCTTATGGACTGTTCTATGGACTTTTGTTAGTCTTTAAAATCTATAGGTAATAGTAACTACTAAATGCTAAGTGTAGCACTTTCACAGGATTCTCAAATCCTCTCCAGCAATTTTGCCTCTTATCCACCTCCCCATCTCCTCTCCTGCTTACAGTGCAGAATTTTAGGGTTAAAGGCAAATATTTAATCTTAGCAAAAAACTTAGTATCTTAAGCATTTAATCTATTTCTACTGTATCCAAGCTTGCCAGGTCAGCATAGCCCAAAAGGAACATTTTGGCATAAAAAAAGTGTTCTAAAAATTGCCTAATAGGTTATACCACAAATTGTAAAGCACCTCTCGTAATATCAAGACATGAACATTTTTTAAAGGACACCAAGCTGTTTTTCCTTTTTACTATACAACGGTATACAACATGTCATAAAAACATCACATGTATGAAATTCTTTGTAGAATGCCTATAAACATACCTTGTTTTAAAATGTGATTGCTTTTTAGCTACAACTCACTAAATTGTACAAGATTCCAGACTACCTTAAGAACTTTCTCAGCATTTAGAAGTGTCTAATATTCATTCCACTGTTTTCAAAAGGACTGTTCTCTGCTGATACTAGAAGTAAGACTGTCAGAGGTTTGACAGATTCATGGATTTAGTTGCAGGTTTTATAATATGGCTACCAAGGTCCCTTTCCACTCTTGAAGATTCAAGGCTGAAATACCTTTTAACAACTCCTTTTTGAGATGGATTTGTACCTAAGCCTCAATGTTTTAATAGGAAAAGGCTTAGTCTGGCTAGTTCAGATTTGACTCAATTTTCCTAAATACACTAGCTTTATCATTTTTATCCAGACATTAGTTTACTATAAAATCCTTACTCATAGGTTTCTCCTAGATCTGATGCATCCAGACTCTAATCTTGATATTTAGTATTACGAATGTACACCATGCCAAGATGGCAAAGTCTAACTCCTTTAAGTTCCCTGAGAAGATAACTTTTAGAAATGAACTGAGTATTTAAGGAAAGTTACACATTACGCTATGGATTCAAGTAACCTGATAAAAACCCATTCTGAGTGTGAAAAAAGGGCAAATACTTAATTACTTTACAGCTATACTAAAGCCAAATTTTAAACTGTAGATTCTATCCAATATTTAAGTATACACTCACATAGCTAAGAAAAAGAAAATAAAAAACAAAAACTTGAATCCCATGAGCCAAAAATAGCCTGCTTCCACTAACCTCAGGTTTTAGCATATCCCAGGATACAGTAAAGGGTGGGACTTTCAATTGTCAAACTCAGCTACAGCTGAATACCATCCGCTAAGTAATTCTGAACTGATAAAAATAAAATTTCACTAAAATAATATGTCATATTTTATATACCTTAATGATAAAATAATTTTTTGCTCCTTACCTAAAACTTTTAAGATTGACCAAAAGCTGAAAATTACTGGTATATGTATCCTAGAGTGTGATAAAATAAGACAAAGCATGGTAAAGACTGCTTTATTGGTGACAGTACAAGACAATAAATATTGATCCCCAAAGAACTCAGTTATTAATCAGCTCACTGGTTGATAGAGAGCTGAATGAAACTGAACCAACTGATTGCTGGGAGGATACACTAAAGTCAATTCTGCTTCTTGGGAAGTGAAGCCGTGGCCAGCTGATATATGGCATATGCTGTTCCTAAAAAACAGAAAGAAACAAAAGAACTTAAAAGAAATTCTAGGATTAAAATGTATAAGCTTAATATTTCAGCTAAAAGTTTTCACTTAAATAAGACTATTCTTATGGGAACCGAAAAAAGTATGCTCATAGATGCTGGCAAAGTTTAAAATATATACATATTTTAGTCTAGTTTCAATATTACTTCTATACAAAGCATTAGATGAAGCACAATAATGTATTTTTCAACATAGTAACATGTATAAAATGTTTAAATAAGATAAAAATGCATATAAAGATTTCCATACTTACCTAAGGTTGCCTGAGAAATGCTAAGAATGATTTAAAAGCCAATAAAGAGGTCAAAGGACACAAGCCTTCCCTAAAGTGTACTGTCAATGTAAAACCAAGAAAGAGTGATATATAACTTTAAGATAATCAAATTTAATGTAAGAATGGATAATAACTAGAAATTTATTTTTAAAACTAATTATCGGAAAGTCTAAGAAATCATCACATTGGACAAAAATGATTTAGGACTTCATCTTAAGAAAAGCCAAAGCCACCATCTGGTTGTTTTCTTCGTCCTTCAACACCCCTTCACTGCATTCAATTCACGTCAAAGAAGGGACCTTGGCATGAGCAAGGGAACTTTGTAATTAGTGCTCAAATCCCAGCTTTTCCACAGAAAAGCAATATTATCTTGGGTAAAGAATGTAATTTTTTCATCTTAAAATAAGAACATATTATAGACTCAATACAAGGGCTATAGAAATCCATATATGTGGTATTCCTATCAATAGATAAGCACACAATAATCACTTTAAAATTGTTTCCCTTCCTCTCCCAGAGAGCAATCATTCAAACTCCTAACTCTGCTCCTAGTATACGAATTTGTGTATTCTACTGGTAATAATGAATCATGGACCTGCCCAACCCACAGAAAAAGAAGTCAAAGCACTTTGCATATAGTAGTAATAAGTATTGATATGTACAGGTTTTGCCGTAAATGTGTACAGAATTTAGATGTAAAATGTTATTACTATACATCACAGTCAGAATGTTTAAAAGCCTGTTAGAGTAGATGGGGTGGGGCCTAGTGGACATCTTTGGTTCCTCCAAAGGCCTGCAGGGCCACCTGCAGCACAATGGAAAGCCACCTCTATCAAAACATAATCATCAAATTTTACTGGTATTTTTTAAAAGACATTGAAATGCTCTTATACAATATGTATCAATCATCTTCTTGAATACTTACATGCAAGCAGTAAGATCTCATATTCTGGAGACAGACTAAGTTAAAATACTGGTATAACACAATGCTATATACAGATGATGTATTGTAGAATTTTATGCTTGAAACATATTATCTTATTAATAAATGTCACCGAATAAACAATAAAAAATATTTTAAAAATACTGGTACAGTAAAAGCAATGAAATTTTTAGTTATCTATACTATTACTTTTCTATGAACCAAGCATTCCAAATGTCTTACCACCAATTGTAAGAATCATGGTAGCTCTATACAGGAGGGCATCAGCTACCCCACCCTTTAGATGCACTGGAATTCCATTATCCTCCTAGGTTAAAAAAATAATAATTATAAATAATACATGTATCGTTTGTTTCCAACTAAGTTCAAAAGGCTAATCTATTCATTTAAAATTAAGTGGCTCCTTTAACTCTTGGAATTAAAATATTTTACATTTCAAAATTAAAAAGAACTCCAATTTTCCTGATTCTCTAATACTAGTACTTTTAAAATAAGAACTTCTAAAGTCAACATTCTTTATTTTAAAGTTAATTTCAGATCCAATAAAAGATATGTTTCTTCCCATGGAATATATAAATGTTAATGCTATGAAAATATAATCATTGAATTAATCAGCATAACTATTAAAAGTATCAATAAACATCACACTTTAGATTCAGTCACAGAAAAGATTCTTTCTTTAAAAAAAAAAAAAGAAAAGAAAAAAGGGAGTTTTGGTTTATAACCCTAAATCATACCCCTAGTCCTTAGTTTAGCACCTGGTATACAGTAGCTATTTAATACATCTATTTAATATAACTTTTATTTTTATGTAGTATAGATGATCCGACTTTTTAATCTCTTAAAATTTATTTGCAAAAAACCAGAGATCACAATAAAACAAAAAAATCACTGACAATCTAACTACTTATAAAGTACACTATCCCACTAAATCTATCCTCATGAGAAAACCTCTAACAGCACCATACATATCCTTAAATATTTTTTATGCTTATATTGTCACATCTTCTAATTTATATACATACATGCTTAATATACAAAATGAGGTTATGCTGTATAATAATCTATCACATATTACTTTTTGCTCAATTCTAGCTTGAAAAATATTTTCTTAGTCAAACCTACCTTGTTCCTTTTAATGGCTACTAGCATTCCACAGCACATAAATATAATGATTGAATTAGCTAGTCCTCTATTAATGGGTACTTAGGTTACTGGGGTTTAGGGATATCAAAATCCCATAATGAATAGTTTTTTCCCTATTTTTAGATATTTATGCTACTATTTCTGTAGGAAAGATTATTAAAAGTGGGAGTCCGATATGATAGGGTACACTACAATTTGTTTTTAGTGATCCTTTCAAATTCCCTTTAAAATTTTTGTACCAATTATTCTACAACCTAACATGTATCAAAGTATTGGGAAAAATGTATGTATCTCCCACACGTAGGTAACATAACCTATTCTACATCTTTCTAAAATTTTTACAATTGTAGGAAAAAAACTGTAACTTGTAATTTTAATTTGCATTTCTTACTGATTTGTAGAAACTCTTTGTAGACTAGGAACACTAACCTTTGTTATATTTTTAAAGTTTGCTCCCAATTTGTCACTTGTCTTTTGTAACTATAAATGCATTTAAAATTTTTATGTCACCAAACTTTGCAAATTTTCTCCTTCACAGCTTCTTTAGGAAGTTTTCCCACCCCCACAATTATAGTAGTTAATAATAGTGTACTGTATACTTGAAATTTGCTGAGATAGTAGATCTTAAGCGGTTTTACACATCCACACAAAAAAGTAACTATGTGAGCTGACATGTTAATTTACTCAACTGTGGTAATCACCACAAACACATTAAACATCAGACTGTACACCTTAAAAAACCAGGTACAACCTAAATGTATACAATTTTGATAATCATACCTCAACCAAACTGGTTGGAGGCAGGGGAGATATCTCCTATATTTTCTTCTAATTTTTTTGAGAAGCATTTATATCTGCAACTTACATTTTAATATAAAAACAGAAGGAATCTAACTTTATTCTCTTTAAAACTGTCAGCCAATTTTTCCAATACCAATTGTATCCTTTTTCCACTGACATGGAGTAGCACCTCTAACATGTGTTAAAATATATATAGGACCGCCTGTTTCTGGGCCATTCCTATGGTCTATCTGCCTATTCCTGTGCAACGGCAGTGCCAACCTAATATAACTCATCCAAAGAAAGTGTCACTGACCTATATTAAAGGACCTATATACCCTTTCCCCCTCATTTCTTCTACTTTCTCAAGGGCCTTATGGATACAGCAAATGCGCAGTTAGCTATCAATAGACAACTTATTATTATTCTTTTGCTAATACAACAGGATCAATAATAATCAGACACTCCAGATTTAATTCATATCTCCATCTTTTGGTAATCATATTATTATAAAAAACAATTTCTCATAAAATATTTCAGTACCTGAAATAGCTTTTGTTTTTCTGGAATTTTATTTTCTAACTGCCTGCGTGAGGCAGTACTTAGGGTCCTCTGGGTGATCTGGCGAAGAGCCTGTAATGTTAAATGCATGATTATTAAACAGACTTAGGCCTTACAGAAACCTTCTAAACCAACCATGTACAATCTTTAAAATTATAGAAGAGGAAAAGTGAGAGTTAAAACATATTTAGTCACTAACAAATTTATAAACCAACACCCAGGTTTTCCAACGTGTTGTTCCTCCTCTGCTCTTTATATTACATTCTGCAGTGTCCAAAAACCATATTTAAGAAGCAATTCATGCTAAGTCTGAGCGCAAAAAAAGACAAAAAAAACCCAAACCCCATGAGATATACCTGAATTGAACAAGTACCATTATATAATCCTTGAAGAAATCGTATTGCTATATATTACAAAAATTAAAAAATCGTTACAAACTACACTAAGAACAAGTGTTTTCATTTAAAACTCTATCATATTAAAAATATGTTACTTGATATCAAAATAAACTAGCACGGCTCTTAGTTAATTAAAATTGCTTCTCTCATTACATTTTTCCTTTAAAAAAATCCTTAATAGGATATAAATATCTTTAAAAAGAGACCTGCACTATATACACAGTTGAATTAATGAAACAAACACGCACTTCACTTTCTAAATATATTGAGGAACTACGTAAAATCTTATTGAATTATTACAAAAGTGATCACTGTCACATTTTCCTTTTCTTTTCGAAATTCCGGGAAAATATTTCATATGCTCAAAGTCGGTGGAGGGGTGAAGGACACTGCAGAGCCGTTTGAAAGAAGCAACACTACGCTTCCGCCATGACTGCTCCTAAAGTTCCATCCAAAATCGAACGGCTTGCTTTTCAAACTGCCTTTTGATGCTCACAAGGCTCAGAAACACTGAAACTTAAGCCCTTTCAATGTTAGAGGTATATCTTTCTGTGTGAGGCTTCCGAGTATCAGCAACTTCCCACCTGGACCTTGGTTTTACTAGTATCAGAGCTAATGAACTCATCCATGGCCCTCAGAGTTAGGGGTGGCGACTGAAAAAACCAACGCTGTCCAACCAACAACCCTCTGTTCACCTTCGCAGCCTTTCCACTCCCTACATCTACCAAGCGCAGCCTGAAGCGAGGACACAGGAAGGGAAAGTAACGTCAGGAGAAAAGGACAGCGGCAAGGTGACAAGGAGCCGCCCTCTCCCTTCCACCTTCCCTCTCATAGACAGGCTTTTATATCGGTCGCGACCCCTTAGCCTCCTCTCCCAACCCTGCCGTCCCACATTGCGACTGCGAGCCGACAAGCTCCTCACCCACCAGCAGATTCCGCAGCATGTTGGCTCAGTTACTGCCCACCAACTGCTTCAACGAAACGCCAGAAACTACCGCCACTCCGGAACCGGAACTACCTTCTGGTGTTGCGCTAACGTCAAGGGCCCGAATATTTCCGGGCGGAGGAAGGCTCGGCTCCTAACCATAGAGAATGAAAAGCGAGAGCGGCGAAACGGCTGGGGCCGCTCTAGCCAGCGGGCCGTTTCGGCCCTTTGAAGTCGGTCCTGACCTGTTCGACGTCATTCCCGCGACTGGCCCCGGGAGTTATGGCTGGGGAGAAGCGACCTTTCAGACCAGGGAGTGAGGGGGAGTGACGTGATAAGTACTATTTTAACTAGCTTAGATAAAATTATTGTGAGGCTACGCTCTCCTAGAAAATTTGTGTATTCTGAACGAGAACGCGTAAAACTTTGAGCCAGTTTAGGGACTGAAAGAACACTGGTTTGGCAGAACTGTTAAGGTGCGAAGCTGAATGAAATTCAGAACAGAGGGAGTAATTCCTCTTACACGGATTCAATCAGCTTCCTCCACCGAAGCTGCTGCTGTGAGGGCGTTACTGTTTCCTGTACTGAGAACATGCTGAGAAGACCCTGCGTTGGGATACCAATTTTGTCTTGTATCTTTGGGTGCTGCAGAATTCCTCATGAAAGCAGCTCCTCCGCAGAGCTTGTGGAAGCTTTTATCTCATTTCAGTGTTCCTGGGAAAACGCAGCAAGGGGGGGAAGTTTTTAAAATGGGGACAAGAAATGGGATGGCAAATCCGGACTTGCTGTCTCAGGTTCAGCAGGGCACTTTCCATACTGGAGTTTCTAGGCATACCAGTTACTGTACAGATAAGCTGTGTGTCCTGCAGCAATCTTGCTTATATAATGGAACAACACTTTATTCTCTACGCACATTCCCGTGTATAGAAATGTAAAAATATATACGCTATACCATAATAAAGATATTTTCTTCTTACAAACTCATTTTTAATTATTGTCATCTGGAATGTGATGATACATGGTTCAGCAAAGGTGAAATGTATAGACAAAAATTAGTTAATATGAACATCATCCAATTTTTAGAGTTAGACCCACTAAGTTACCTGTCTGTCCCCAGTTCGTTCTCTTCACCGAAATTTATAAATAACCCAATTGATTTTTCAGGACTGAAAGGACCTGGTTTATTCCCCTCTCTGCATTGCATTACATTACATATAGTAAGCAAATCCTTGAGGACTGTCACCAGGTGCCAATAACTGGAGCATACGATTTTTAAAAAGTGGATTGTCTACAATTCGAGCTTGTTAAAGTTGTGGGTGCTCTCTTAGGTTTTCTCCATTTAGCCAACTAGACTGTAACAACAGATTATCTGAATTTCTTACCAATTCCCATGACTGACTGCTTAAAGGGGGTAAACAGCTAGCCAACGGAAAAAATATACACATGAATGACATGTATGGCTCTGTTCAAAAATAACTGAGGGTTCACATAACCTAAAGTAGATGAAGATCTTTATTTGCATGTCACCTGGTACAGTGTAATTTTTCCCTCTCTACTGGAACATTCCATTAGCATATAAACATATTCCCAATTTAAACAATCTTTGATTTGTTACCATCCCATTTCTTTTTCAAAATAAAATATTTCCTTATACTTGTCTTTCCCTCCTGTTGTTCTTTTTTTAATTCCATTTTGGGCAAGTTTTTCCTGCTCGCTTAGTATCACCAACAGCCTCTATGTTACCAAACTGTCAATTTCAATTTTCAAGATGTATAAGCGACATTTAACATACTTCATCACTCCTTCAAAGTGTACTTCCAATTTTTTATTTGGAAATAAGTCATAAATGCAATACCCTGTAACATATATGTATACTGTAGTTTGAGACATTGTGTTAACAGCTGCTAATTCTGGTTTCATTCTCTCAGTTTCTAAAAGTGCTTCCATCCAATGCCATGAAACACCATTCGTGTGCTGACAACTCTCCACCCTGACCTTCCCTTTAACTCCAGACATCTCCACTTAGATGTCTAACAGGCATCTCAAAATTAGAGCCAAAATGGAATTCTTTCCACTGATTTCCAAGTGTTCTCTGTACTTTTCTTCCTTGAATGCCCCAAGGTGTTGGCTGCACCTTCAAAATATCTCAGTATGACCACTTCTCATTATCTCCATTGCTAGCTACTACCACTCCAAGCCAAGCCATCACCATCTCTGGCTTGCATTATTGCAGAAGCCTTTTGAAACTGGTTTCTATGTTTCTGGTCTACCATTCCGTTTACCTTCCACATAGCAGTGATCCTTTTAAGAACTTAAGTTAGATAATGACCCTGCTTAAAACTACTTTGTCCCCTGCTGTATCCCCAGCACCTGAACTAGTAACTGGCACATAGGAAATATTAGTTGAATGAACAGTATGCTGCACAAAAGAATAAACTTATTGAATATAAAAATTCAAAAAACTCTCAATACTCATTGTATTCCTTTCAACCACTTTTCAGTCCCAGGGTTCCTCACACATTGTCTCCTTGCTCCTGCTCTATAAATTGTCATTATCCTGACAGAAAAAATATGGCTGAATGTGCCTGGGTGCCTATTAAAAACTTTACTGGATCTTCCCAGGCACACTTGAAATTTGTTGCCAGATTTGTAAATTCATCCTCTGAAGCAGAATATTTTCAAAATAGGTTCCTTTCCAAAGTATCAGTATGAGGTCCTTTTGTAATATTAGAAAAATTATTAGACATAGCTCTTCTTTTGAAAAATATCTTCTCCAGAAGGTTCTTGAATATTCTAACAGAACGGGCAGTACATTTAGATATGCGGTAGGTAATGGTTACTTTAAGTGTTGTCAGTACGGAATGTTTATGGGCATCAGATGTAAAATTACTAAGTGAAAATATTTCACAGTTACCTGGTACAAAGTTACCAAATCACAAAGTGACATCTTTTCCTTTAAAAAAAAAAAGTTAACCCCTTACTTTGATCCTGCCTATAGCATCTATAAACAAAAAGCACACAAATGCCAAAACAGAGTTTTGTGTAATTGAGATGTATATTTTAATTCTGGAACCATGCTTAATCCACATCGTTTTACAAAAATACAGAACAGCTTCATGTGAAGTTTAATCCAAACTACTAGTCAGTTTAAAAAGTAGTATTTCAATATAATACCTTTTTTTGATTATCATATAGTTAGGAAACACAAAACACTTGGTTGTCGATTAACTGTATTGTTTTATTAAATAATTTACCTAATTGCAAGCCTGTCTTTTCATCATTAAAGGGGTTACATTAATCTTTATCTCTGGCTCTAAAATCCTTTCCTATGAAAAAATATTTTAAGACGTATGAGTTCACTCCATATTGAACAATAGTTTACTGAGGACCTACTATGAATGTAACACTTTCCAATATGCTCAGTAGAAAACTTTAAATCTTTTGACTTTCTGGAGCACATAATCTTATTAGGAAGATAATATATACATAATAGTAAATTATGATGCAGACATAAATGACTCTGTTAACTGCTACAGCAAAAGTTGCTATGGGAAATTCAGGGAAGGTAATGGTCATTAGGAAGGTTTTGAATAGACTGAATTTCAGCAGGGTCTGGTAAAATTAGAATGGGAGTAGAGATTAAAAGGTATTCCAGACAGAGCAAGAACATGATTAATAACCTGGATTTAGAATCAAGCATTATCTACTACAGAAACTGTAAACACAAGGCCTAGATGGAGTGAAAAAAGAAAAAAATATTACTGTAGTACAGAACTGGGAAATCAGATCTTGACTCTATCAGCTAATAATGAAACTAAAGGCAAGTGTCATAATCTGTTTATACCTCAGTTTCTTCATCTGTAAAATAAAGATAATAGTATCCATCATCATTGGGTGCCTGTGAGGGTTAAATTATTTAATTCAACAAATGTTAGCTATTATCATGAAAGGAAAAATTGGGTAAGGAGAAATAGATTAACAGAAGAAATATCCAGGCAGAAGGTAGAGCACATGTAGAGCCAAAGAAGAGCGAACAAATGTCTTGGGGAATTAACTATTTTGGTTGGCAGGACATATGGAGTGTGAGGCAACAGTGGAAGGCAGGAGTGAGACTTTAGTGATACTAAAACTTTATCCTGAAGGTGTAGTTTAAATTGCAAACTGTCAAGCTCAGGATTCTACTTCAGGATCATTCTGGTCATGGTGAAAGGCTGGACTGGACATTGAGTTACTAGAAAGAGAGTCTACAAAAAGGCTTTTATAGTAATCCAAGGAAGAAAGAAAACTGAAACATCAGCAGCAAAGAAATGTGGATTAAGGGGTGGATTAAAGAGCCAGCTATAAGGAAGTACCTTCAAAAATCAACAAAATGTAGTGATTTTAATGGACTGGGAAGTTGGAGAGGAATCCAAGATTTCTGGCTGAACTCATAAGGTGGTCGGTCATACCACTCACTGTATCCAGGAATAGAAGAGAAATCCCAGGCTAGTGTGAGATTCCTGTTTTGGCCTGATTAACCTTGAGAACTTCAAGAAAAATCCAAGAAGAGATCTATAGTGAACAATCTATAGCTCAGGAAAGATAACAAAGTCAGTGTGAAGATGGTAGTGGAAGTGATGGAAATTTAAGATTTCTCAGTGAGTATTTATAAAGTGTGAAAGGGTCCAAAGCATAATCTCAAAGAATTCCCAACATTCTATATGGTGAGCATAACCAAGGAATATATAAAGGAGACTAGGGAACAAATAAGCAGAAAGAAAATCAGGGAGAGTTATTCACAGAAGCCATATGCTAAAAATGAAGCTGGAAGGAAAATGCCGAACTATCAAATGGGGCAAAAAGTTCAAGGTAAGGGTGAGTTCATTTGATTCCATGAAAAGGAGTGGGAATTGTTCACTGAGTGCCATTTTTCTATACTTTGTGCTAAATGCTTGTCATCTATCACTTCCTTTATTCCTCAAAACAAAATCTGTTATGCAGGTATTAAAATCCCCATTTTACTGACGAGGAAATAGTAAAATAAATGGTTTAGGAGATTAATCTGAAGACACAGTTTGTATACATGAGCCATATCCACGTGCCTCTGAAACCCAGACTTCCCCTATGAAATCCTTTAGAGCTGA